TCTCTCTAAAATCAATAACCATATCCTCAGGTGAGGATTTAAAAAAAATGCTCCAGAGGAGGCACTGCACCACCTCCTCCCCCGGCACCTGCATGCACACGACACAACTCCAAGGCACCTGGTTGCATACGCACACCCCTTAGGGACCGATAACGTCATGTGTCTGCGCTCTGGGACCTGTGGCGTTTGCCAGGATGGCATCATTGCAGCTCGTCTCTGGGGACACCTTCTCAGGGCCATTTTCCTGTTACATCCCAGCCACCGAAGAGCCCCTGCTCCATAAGGGCCTCTCCCTTCTCCTCTCTTACCTTCCACCCCATCACCACACAAGTCCCCAAGCTGGGCGGTGCCTTCAGGGTCCTCTCCTGAGGGTTCTTCTTAACCTTTTTTACACAGTGAGCTCCTTGGCAATTTTTGAACCTCTTTGTAGAATAATGTTTTTAAATGCCCCAAATAAAAGGCATAGGCAAACAGAAAACCAGCTTTGCTGAAATACGGTTCTGTCCGCTGACACCGCCCCCTGCCCCCAGGTCTAGACCAAAGGTTCCGGCCCCTCCCGTTTTCTGTAAAAGAAGAAACATCTCTCTATACAGGAAGCCCAGTGACATGATTTACTTAGGGTCATGCTGCTAAGTAGGAATCAAACTGGAGTTAGAGTTTAAGTCTCCAGGCTACTGATCCAGACCTCTGTTCAGTGTGTGAGCTGCTCACGCACACATTTGCGTTTTAAAAGAGAAGAATGGTAGCTGGAGCAGAAGTGTCCATGGCCTGGGGCTCTGCTCGCAGCCTACCTAAGGAAAGCAGGTGGACCATTCCCCTTCCCTGGGCCAAGGCCAGGCTATGGTTCACCTATTGTTCACCGGGTCCCACGTTCATTATCCTAATCGGTCACCCTCAACAGGTTCACTTGAAAGGGGAAATGAGGGAGGGAAGGAAGGCGAGAAGGAGGGAGGGTTGGAGAGTGAGTTAGCGGGTAGGGTCGTTTCCTGGGCCTGCGCCTTTCAAAGGCCTCTGGGTTTTCCTTCAGAGGGCCTAGACCTGCCCTTTAGTTATGTGGGTCACACAGAAGGATTTGTAAGAGATGGGCTGATGTCATTGTGGACCAGACGCCCCGAACCAGATGGCAAGCTTCTTTTTTGCAGAGATCCAATACTTTGTTTCCTCCCTCTGTCCCCCTCCTCGAGGACATCACAGAGCGGGACTGTCACTGTGTGAGCCAGGAATTTGGATTTAGGAGGTGCTTTCAGAACATGGGACCAGAGAGGAAGGGAAGGTCGAAATGGCCAAATAAGATTCCCTGAGAGGTTTATGCTGTCCGCAGAATTCTTCTGACGGGTGCTCTGCCTCTGTTTTAAAATATCAGCCTTTTCCTGTCTCATTATTTTCCCCTTGAAGCTCTCATCCAAGCCAACTATAAATACATCTTCAAAGCCATGTTTCATGCCTCTCAGATGCTCCCCAGAAATTGGTTTTCACTTGGGCAGGGAGGGGGCTGTGAGGTTGTCCTCTGATCCCTCAAAATCCTCCAGAATTGCTGCCTTTATTGCACAGAGCTAATGGGCTGGAACAGAACCTTGTCTTCAGCTGGAGGACTCGGAGTTTCCGACTGATGGAGAATGTATTGCTTTTTCCTCTCCATTTCAGTTTGAATCAGAAACTGCAACTGGAACAAGAGAAGCTCAGTTCTGATTATAACAAGCTGAAGATAGAGGACCAGGAGAGAGAGATGAAACTGGAAAAACTCTTGTGAGTGCACTTTAAACGTTTCCTCTGCTTCCTCTCACCCCAGCAAAGTCATAGGAAGTCTGCTCTTGTGATTCAGATTCCCAAATATCTTGGCGAGGTCGGGTCAATTTAAAAACAGATGATGGCTGTGTGTGAGTTGGTTTGTTTTGTTGATTTATCTGCAGGTGCCAGTAGTATCTGCGGAGATCTCTGATGCCCCCTTGGCGGGTCATGACTCCTTTTTGTTTTTTAGATTGCTCAATGACAAAAGGGAGCAAGCCCGGGAGGACCTCAAAGGGCTGGAAGAGACTGTGGTATGTCAACATGTTTGCCAACTCATTTTAGTCTCAAAGACCAGATTAGTGTGTGGCTTGTTGAATTAGTTTAGTCTACAGTTTTATCTGTGCACACCCATAGTGTATCATTTTAGACATACAATATGCTGTGGAAAAGTGAGAGTTGTAGAATTTATTCCCTAGCTCTTGACAGAATGATTAAACATTTGTCCATCCATCCATCCACCCATCCATCCATCTGTCCATTTGTCCATTTATCCATCCTTAGTGCTGTAATCATGGGACCCCTGAGTAAGAATTGAACTAAATTGCAAATCACTGCCTGCAATGTTACAGCCTCTGCACCCCGTGACTCTCTTCCATTCAACAGTTATTTGTGGAGCACCTACTAAGGGCAGACATTCTTCTAGGTGCTTGGGCTGCATAATAAACAACAGAGAAGATCCTGGCTGTTGGGCAACTTACTTTTAGCTGGGGGAGATGGACAAGAAACAATAGGAAGTAAATTATGAGCTCCATTGGGTGGTAATAGAAAGTGCAGTGGGTGGTGGTTGGGGGAAGCTCCCGGAGGAGGTAACACTGGGCAGGGATTGAAGCAGTGAGCCTGAGGCTGTCTGGGGGCAGAGCCTTCTAGGCAGTGCCAAGGCCCTGAGGTGAGCGCTTGCTTGGTATGTTGTGGGACAGCAGGGAGGTCAGTGTGGCTGTGATAAAGTGAAAAGGGGGACAGGAGATGGGCACAGAGAGGTCAGGGTGAGAGGCCTAATTGCTCAAGGCCTGTCTCCTTGAATGTTTGGGTGGAGTGGGGGATGGGACCTGCATCCAGGGGTGGGATTCTGAAGCCCATTGCAGGCGATGACGCTAGAAAGGCCGTCTCTGCCACCCCAGGCAGCCCTCTTGCTTTAACAGGACGCTTTGTCTGGGCTGTGGGGCTGGACCCTCCTCCTACCACATTGATGGGCCTTCTGTTTCCATCTCTCAGTCCCACTCCCTCTGTCCACTGTGACAGGAAGCTGAGCCCTGAGCTTTTACACAAAGGGCAATGGCCTGCGATGGGGAAGGACCTGAGGAACGCAGGTCTAGTGGGGTGGGGAATTATAGTGAATACAATGGGGGGAAATCTGTTGCCACAGGAAGTTGCCTGGACATAAATGTACATAAGCATAACTTATAGACTATTCGAAGGTCTTTAGCTGCTCTTCCCAAACTGTTGGATTCACCTAAAAACAAACACGAGGGGAAGTCACCAGGCTCAAGATTCTGTATTACTCGGTACTTGCACCCATGGAAATGCCTGGCCCTTAGACCAGACACCGTGACTTCTCTTCATTTCCCTTTGGTGTGGTGGCATTTTTCATGGAAAATATTTACTGTGATTACAGTTCAGTCAGTAATAAAATCCCTGCAGTGAGGGAGAGCGTGCGTGGCGGGGGATTGGGGGCCGAGCTCCCTCAGGCAGGAGCGGGAAGAGCGTGTCTGCAGAAATGTGAGCCTGAGCTGCACCCTGCGCCTGCCCAGGGAGGTGGCGAAGCCTTGGACAGGCACAACATGCACAGTGTTCATCATAACAGACCCACTTGGCTTCCTGCAGGAAGCAGTTTGCTTCACGGAGGAGGCAACTGACTTCAGGTGCTTCTTATTTCAACACAGTGGCGGAGTGGGGCCCAGTCATCAGACCTAAGTTAACACAGAACCTTTATTCTGAGAACTTTGTGTTCCCACGGCTTTGTAGCCTGTCTCTTCCCTTTTTCTGTGAGCGTGAATGAGCTCCATCCCTTGACATTTTGTGTCAAAGTAGGTCAACTTACACAAACTGAAAAGTATAAAGGTGAGTTTATCTTCCTCCCTTATGGGAAAATACCCTGCAAGGAACTGATCGTAATACATGGAGACTCGAATGGAAGGAAGAGTTTTGGTTTCCTGATCTTGTTAACGAAGATCACCAAGTTTGACTCAGGCTCTTGTGTCAGCAATCTAATTCCCAAGAGTTCATTTGTAGAAAATAATCCAAAACGAAGAAAAAATGCCCCTAAGAAGTTGAAAATTTTAACGACCACCACAACAAAGGAATGAAAACCCAGTGAGGAAACGGCTGTCAAATATGAGGCCTCAATAAATTAGTACTAGGTACTGTTTATTGAGCATGTACTGTGTGCCAGAAACTGTTGTAAGAGTTTTATAAAGATCATCTCATTTCATCTTGACCACAACAACTATGAGGCAGCTACCATTTTAGTCCTCACATTATAAATAAGAAAATTGAGGTACAGAAAGGTTGGATCAGTCCCCCGGGATCACCTGGGTGGAAAGCCTGCCAGCTGCTTCATCCACACACTTGGGGGTGCAAAGCAAACAGACCTACCGACCAGGGCCAGGGCGGTGCAGAAACATGAAGACCGTTAGTCAGTTAGGGTGGGAGAATGTGCGGCTAACTTTTCATTTAAACTTGTTGACATTGTATATAATGTGCATGTGAGTAATTTGAGGGAAAAAAGAATCCATTCTGGTGACATACCCCTAGGGATTTTGACCAGAAAACTTAAGGGTTTTTGTGGCTGAGGGGAAAGCAAAGGTTCCACTTAGAACACAGCAGATGAGCAGGTGTTGTTCCCGTTTGCAGTTCAACTGAGTGAGTTCCCAGTCTCTGCACCTTGGGGTGGTGCTGAGACAATGCCAGGTCAGTGGGGTGGACGTGTGTGGTGTGCAAGTCAGAGGAAGTGTGGGGACACCACGGCCCCTACCGTGGGCTCAGGGATCAGGTGGCCTCGTGCCAGGTGTGTACCCCCACTCACGTGGCATCTTCACAATCTTCTCTTCTAGTCTCGGGAATTGCAGACTCTGCATAACCTCCGCAAGCTCTTCGTCCAGGATCTGACTGCCCGGGTTAAAAAAGTGAGTTCTGTTTTGGGTGACTGAGACTGAGAAGAAAAGATGGCCAGAAAAATTCCTTTTCAGATGAAATATTAGTTGCTTAAATTGGGGCCAGTTATGCTTAAACATTAATTACTTCATGGCAGCGAATGTTATTAAAAGAATGTGCTAGAGGCAAAAATTACTTAGGAACATCTGCCATCTCCTATTTCCTTCTTAGTAAAAGGAAGGCACACTCCTTCCGCTGGCCTCCATTTCAAGTGAACGCCTGCTTCTCTGGCTGTGGTGGGAATGCCAGTGTGCACGCTGCAGGGACAGTGCAGAGGAGGTCTCGGCGCGGCCCGAAGCCTGCTGGGCAGTGCCGGACGCCTGGAGAAGGCAGAGGCGGGAGCCCTTGATTTGCCTGTTAGGAGGCCACTGGGGCCCGGTCAGAGTGTCTGAAGCACTTTAACTCCTGATGTCTTTTGTGCTCTTCCCAAGAACCGTGTAAGCGGTTCGTAGTGTTCTGTGCTGCAGATGTGGAGATAGGCTCAGAGGGTAAATACCTTACCCAACATTGCACAGCTGGGGAGAGCCAGAGGCAGGACTGGAAAGCAGGTCTGTATGCCTTCTGAGTCTGAGCTTCGACTCTCATGCCACACACACTGACCTTGGGAGTTACCGTATGGAGAACCCCAAGAGCAGCCTCAAGATGTTTAAGGAGGGAGGAGAGTGGAAGCAGCAACATCTTTAAGATGTTTAACAGCGATGGACAAGGGGCCATGGGCCATATCCAGAAGCATCATAGGATGGAAAGAAGCTGTACTTAAAAAAGTGTGTGCATGTGCATGCACATGTGTGGACGTATGTGTGCATGCATGTCTGTGAAGGAGCCAAGGGAAAGAGGTGAAATATATTAAAAAGAGGTTATTGATAGAGCCAGAATTATTAGGATAGATGGATGTGTTAGGCTTAGTAAGGGGATGGGACACATTCTCAGAGAGAAGTGGAGAGGCCAAGATGCAGACATTTGCAGGGAAATAGTAACAGTAGAAAGAGGCATCTGACAGCTTCGATCTCAGTTAGTGTGGAGGCTCCGTCCTCCCTGCAGAAAGATGAGAATGGAGAGCCCATGGGGACTGGAGAGGGCTCAGGCAGGTGGCGGGGAACGTGCCAGGGCTGAGTAGAAGGACTGCTGAGTAGTGGGTGAGTGTCCAGCTGAGGGTCAGGGCATGGGTTTGCCGTGGCCACTGGCAGCATGGTTCTAGCAAGTTTGGAAGCCTGGAAATAAAAACAAGAAAGGAGTAGAGGATGATGGGAGGTTTCAGGGCCTGAATGGCAGTGGTCAGGCAGGTAGGTAGAGACCACAGTCATCAGACTAGAAATGGCCTTAGGACCTGGACCAGGTGCTAGAGAGAGGTCAGGGCAGAGGTGATGGAGAGGGAGATGGGAGAGTTCGTGACAAGAACTGGAAAGGCTCAGTGTGAGAGAGGAAGGTGATCTGAGGGAGGGGAAGAGCTGGAGATCAGACTTTCCTGATTTCATGATATAAAACTCGAGGAAGGACAGAGGGTCCTCAAGTGTGGTCATCTGCCAGTATCACCTGGAAACTGCTGGATGTGCAGATTCTCAGACCCACTGAGATCCCCTGACTCAGAGGCTGGGGTTGAGGCCCAGTCGTCTGGGTTCCAAGTCCTGCTCTAGGGAAGTTTGAGAACCTCTGTTTTAGACTGAGGAGACCCAGGTTTGAGATGCTCACACAGCTAGCACCCCTTGGGAGAAGAGGTACACTTCTCCATTTTCTTGTTTGCATGTGTATTTCCTACCTGTCCGTCTGCTCAGCTTGGTGCTACCAGCAGGGCTCTGTTTTTGCCATTTTCAAGTCCTGATCCATTGAAGAGTTCACCCAGGGCTCAGATGCAGTGTGACTATTTTGAAGTGAATTCATTAAGGAGTTTTATGGAAGTGGAAGCTGAAGGGACAGGCAGAGCCGCTGAGACCTCCCCCGAGCATGGACACTTGCTCACAGCTCGGTGACGAACCCCACCTGTGATGTTTGAAATCAACTTTAGATCTTGGGTTTATGTTTTCACATCGGCTCTTAATGAGTTTTGAGACAGTCCCTTTTGCAAAGTATTTATCTACCTGCCAGGGAGAGGTCTATGTCACAAAGAGAACTAATCCGTGTCTTTCAAAAGAAGATCTGAAGGTTTTTCCCAGCCCTCTAACACTTTTGACACCAACCAAGAACTTACTTGAGAAGGTCGTTGAGTTTAAACTTTTAGAACCTGTTTACTCTCATTTTCAGAATAACCGTTAGTGGAATTGGGAATCTTTTTAAAGGAGATTGAGAACGTATCGCGCACGCTACGCTGGGCTGGGGGTGGGCAGTGTGGAGGCTCGCTCGCTGACCCTTGGTGTTGGTGCAGAGTGTAGAGCTGGACAGCGACGACAGCGGGGGCAGTGCTGCCCAGAAGCAGAAAATCTCCTTCCTGGAGAACAACCTGGAGCAGCTCACGAAGGTTCACAAACAGGTAGGGGAGCTGCCCCGTTGCCTCCTGCGGCTCTCTCGCCTGGACGGGACCCCGCTGGACTTGGCCGCAGTGCAGGCAGAGGCTCTGATCGAGGAGCCAGAACGGCCCCTGAAATCCTTCAGTCCCCCGTGACTTCCCTGATGTGTGAAACACTGTATTTCATCAAAGCCAATACGAGGAATTGAGCCTGAGCTCTGTGGGCTTTGGGGAGTGGGATGTTCAGAGTTCTGTCCTTTCCCGCCACCTGCAGTCCCGACCTCAGTCTCCAGCTGGCTTTGGTGTCTCTCAGGATGCCTCCGAGGCTCCTCTGTGGACTCTGAGGCTCCACAGAAGGCAAACTGGACACCACCACACTGGTCCAGGCCCCTTGCTTTTGCAGACGAGGAAACGGACTGGCCCTGGGTGGAAGAACTGGGAGCGGCATTGGCCCTTCCCTGCTCTGTTGCTCTGTTTCTTGGGCACCCTCTCAGGTGCCTGTGATGGCCTAGCATCTGTCTAGAGTCCTAGAGAGCACTGACCATGTCCAGACCAACGGTGACTTGGCAGGTTCTTGGCCTCCTTTCTGTTTGAATGCTGGAATGTTCACGATTTTTTTCTCTAAATCCTAAAGATTTGGGATATGATGGAAATGGTCCATCTTTATGGGCCACACAGCTGAAGGGATGTCATTTCTCTCTGACTCTCCGGTTAAGCCCTCGTCACCATTGTTGGTGATGGCATTTTTCCATCTCCACAGAGGGAGGGCCACAGATTCAGTGTGGTTGAAGTCATTCAGATTGTTGATAGAAATATGAAAGTAAAAGCTGTCAGGAAGTAGGGCTCTGACATTCAGTAATCATTTTATTTATGGATTCAAGGAATGTTTACTAAAAACCTTTTTGCCCAGCCTGAAACTGGTGCTGGGGACACACTAGTGACGGACACTGGTGTTGACCCAGCAATAGTTCAGCCTTCGTATAGCCCATTCTGACTTTCAAAACTTGGTTTTACACTTGTATTCCCAAACTGGTCCCCTCATGTTCTTTATAGATGAGAAACCCTAGTGGTGAGATGACTTGCACCAAGTCAGACGGCCAGGAAATGATAGCACTGGCTTTTGGGCCCCTCCTGACCCAGGCGAGCCTGCTGCTTCTTAATTGAGGGTCCTAGGTGATGAAAGAAAGAGCGATACCCCCGAGCTACCTGTTAGCCTCTGGATATGCTGCAGAGTGGGGTCCCCACCACATGCTGCTGTGGACAGTGGGTCCCGATGGAAGGAAGTTGTCACAGAGTCTGGGACATGCCGTCCACCGAGCACCTTTGCTTTATATTTCTTAGAGTTCACCGGCTGACGTCAGAGTTCTGCTCTCCCACTCCTCCCCATCCACTCGGGCGACAGGAAGGGAATCCTGCCTGAGCTTGAAAGTTTCCTGTGACCCAAACAGGCTTTAATTCGACCCTACACCCCTCTTCCCTTCCTCACTCCTGTGAATCATGTAGTTAGTAAACTGGAGTCCCAGAGTTTATGGCCATGGACTTTCCACCCGGCAGGGGGTGGTCGGTCAGCTGCAGAGTCCGCTTCTGGCTGCCGTCCTGTCACAGTCACTGTGCCCACTGCCCCTCTGGTAACTCGCACCTTCCCCTCCCGCCCCAGCTGGTCCAGGACAACGCCGACCTGCGCTGCGAGCTGCCCAAGCTGGAGAAGCGTCTGCGCGCCACAGCCGAGCGCGTCAAGGCCCTGGAGAGCGCGCTGAAGGAGGCCAAGGAGAACGCCATGTGGGACCGCAAGCGCTACCAGCAGGAGGTGGACCGCATCAAGGAGGCTGTGAGGGCCAAGAACATGGCCCGGAGGGCCCACTCCGCCCAGATTGGTACGTGCCCTTGCGCGTGCCGTGTGTGCCCCTCACCTGGGCCCCTGCTAGACGGTGAGGACTCCACGGCCAGAAGCACTGACTCTCTGAGGCCGCCTGGGTGTCTGCTCCGGATCAGGTGAGGGGCTGCGGTCAGGCTTGCAGGGCCTAGGCCGGCCGCGCCTCCCAGCACCCTGTGCCCACCCTGGGAGAAGGGAACGTGGGCACACACTTCCTTACACTGAGATCCCAGTGCACACTGTGGCCTTCAAAGCTGCTGATTTGAGCAGAGGCCAGCTGGCCTAGGCTGTAGGCAAATGTGTTGGGCTGTAAACAGATACATTGTCAGATATACGAGAGTAGACAGCTATTTCTCAGGATGGCCTGAAGGCCCCTCTGTCCTGCAATGGGTGGAACCATGAGGAGCGTAGGTAGCAGGAGCCTCAGGGAATGTTGCTTGCAGGTGCAGATCTGGAAATGTCCTGGGTTCCAGGCCTGGCATCAGTGAGCGCATGTGGTTCTAAACTGGGGAGGGGGCTGGACTCTAGCCCCTTCAAGACCCGGACTGGGGCATTTTGCCTTCCAGGGAAAGAATGTAGCTGCTCAGTCTTGTTCCCAGACAGAGCTGTAGGAGTGAAAGGAATTTGGGAATATTCTCTAGAGGCTTTTTACAAAACTGAAACATCTCCAATAGCATGCAATATTGCTGCCCATCAGGTAGTGCTGTTCCGATGTCTTCTAATCCAGCAACTTTATGCTTCTAGTTTTTAGATTATACTTTAGATTAGTGGCTCATTGGACTTTTTCACCTTTTGCATGTATTGGATTTTATACCCTTTGAAAACCTACTGAAGGCTAAGGACCCTCTCCCCAGAAAAGTGCATCATAGGCAGAATTCTGCACCCAGTTTCAGGGGCCCTTGGGACCCATGGGGACCTAGGGATTGGCCTCAGACTAAAATTGAAAGTCCTTTGTTTCTGATTTCCTCAATCTGAATTAAAATAACTGATGTGTAAGTTCTTTCTGTCTTCTAAACATTGGATGCTCTGGATTAGCTGACTGTACTCATAGGAGGGCAAACCTGCTTTCAGAAACTCCAGCGGTTGAGAGATGTAACGTTGACAAGAATGATGTCTCTTGGTTTTCACACGTGGCCTAAAGGTACCTGGGTGTGGCTGTTGAAACCCTTTCTGACTGTCCCTTCTCTTCTTTCTGTTGGTCGGATGCAGCCAAGCCCATCCGCCCAGGACACTATCCAGCATCATCTCCAACGGCCGTTCACGCCATCCGAGGGGGAGGAGGCGTCTCATCGAACTCCACCCACTACCAGAAATAAATGAGAAGTGAGTCCTGGTGTTGGGTGGTTTCCATCTGGGGCAGACCCCTGCCCCTGCCTGGCTCCCTCTCATGTGTGTGAGGACCTGCGACAGACAGGAGACAGTTCTGCTCCACCCCAACCCCTGAGGTCAGGGGTCAGGGGTCAGGGACCAGGGCCTGTCCCTCTCAGTCTGGAGCCCTGGGTCTTCTAGGGGGGGCCACCTGGCGCCAGGGTCCCTGCAGGGCCAGGAGAGGGTGTGGTGAATGATTCACCTGGGCTTTCTTTTGTCTGTGGGACTCCCCTCTGTGGCTGGCATCCAAAAGGGCATTACCCGTTTGTCAGTTGCTTTTACCCAGAACAGACAGACGTGGGCGGGTAAGTCTCAGGAATGACTCTAAAGAAAGAGCCAGATAATAGTCATATTTTTATAATTACCATCTGAACTCAGCAAGTGGCATTCTAAAGAAACATGCCAATTTATATCTAGGTGGGTCCGGACCAGTTTTTCCTTCAGGATAGTGGGCTGTAAACTTCTCTGTCCACAGCCCACATGCCCAGTGCTGTTCTCCAGCAAAAAGGAAAGAAAAAAGTAATACTCTTTGGAAGAGAGAAGGAAGGAGCACAAGCCTGCCCGTTTGTGCCCGAGACAGAGAAAAGAGTTACTGGTTAGTAGAGCAGACAGGCAGCTAGGTGGCCAGAAAACTCTGTTTAGCGAAACTCTGACTGAACCAGTAGCCTGTGGATGGGAGGAGGTGGGTCCGAAAGGTGCCCTTGACCTCTAAGCCCTCACCAGAAAGCTAGCCCGCGACAAGGGCGAGTTTGCACAGCACAGCCTCAGTGACCGGGGCAGCAGCTCTGTCCAGCCCTTTTGGCACTAAGGTAAGGACAGTGAGTGGGATGGGGGCTGGAGCCTCACTCGGGAGCTGACAGCATTGCTCAGGCTCAGACTAAAATTCCAAGGAGGAAGCTTGGTGGCCCCACCCGGGCATCATTCAGGGAGCAGGACGGGGGGGAATGCGGAGGCAACAGCGAGCAGGCAGCAGGTCCACCAACACCTGCCGTGTACGATAGGAAATGACCGTGGCAGTGGGCCACCCCATTCAGATCTGACCTCTACTTCCAATCAGAAACAAAATAAAGTCTGATGCTATAAAACTGCTTTTGACTGTCATGTGGTCAGTATCAGGGTTGACACTGGAAGGGAACTGGAAGGTCAAGTTGGGCGGCTCAGAACAGGAAAGCCTAAAGCACTGGTTCTCGAACTACAGTGCCTGTCGGCACCGTCTGGCACCCAGAGACGGGCTTGTCAAAGGAGCATAGGACCTGGACCTTTGTATTTTTACCAAGTATCCCAGGTGGTTTTGTTTGAGAACTACTATCCTAAAGCAATTATGACTTATATAAGATGGAAGTTTATTTCTCTGTCACATAAAGGAAATTTGAGGTGGTCTGTCACAACAGAAAGCTAGCCTCTTAAATGTAGACTCACCTTTCTCAGCAAGTACCTTCCTTCCTCAAGGTCATCTCAAGGCCACAAAATGACTTCTACAATTTACGTTCTGAGTGTAGTAAGTGGAAAGGAAGCAGAGATGGGGCAAAAGCAGCTCTCCCACTGAATCAGTGTCCTTATTTGAGCAGCCTTCCTAGATATCCCTTGCAACCCTGGTGCCCACATCCCTCTGGCCATGCCTAGCTGCAAAGGAGGCTGGAAAACGTGGTCTTTAGCTGGGTACATCACTGCTCAAATGAGAGTAGTGTTCTTTTGCTGAGGACAGGGAGACGGATGCTGGTGGGCCCCCAGCACCCTGCGTTTGTTGAACACCTAGCATGCAGCAGAGCTGTGCTGGATGTAGTACCTGCATCACCCCACCTGAGGTGAGCATGCAGACAGGTGTCTGTGCTTGGCTCCCAGCAAGCTCTCAGCAAGTGTACCAGCTCGGGGACCCTGGGTCCAGAGACTGCAGTGGGTGGTCCCTTTACTAAAGCTGCCCTGGAGGCTGGCCAGACCTACAGTGTATGTGAGGTACACACAGCCCGGTGTTGGCCGTTCATCCGTTCATCCTATCGTCTTCTCACTGAAGATGGAAAATCACTAGGTCTGGTGAGACTTTCAAAGTAACAGAACTGCCCTCACCCACCATGGTGATTTGCTTGTTTCTTTACTCAAAGTGTTAAGAGTGGTTTTGAGTATTTTATCTGAAACCTCCTTGACCTACTTTACACATTCGTACAACTCCTGTAGCTGGGGCCTTTTCTCACCGTGTCATGAATAGGCCCCCTTCCTGCCGTCAGGATTGCAGGATGGCAGGATGGCTGCAGGTCTGGCTTTGGACAAGAGGCCTGGTCAGTGTCAGGTCTTCCACATCCTTCAAGTTATTTCACCTCAGGGTTGGTTTCCTTTCTGTGAGGGGGGGAGAGTCCTTTCCCTGGGTCATTGGCATTGATGTGAGAACTAAATGAGGTCATGCTTCCAAGCTGCTTGGCGTATAGCAAGTGCTCAATTAAAATGTTGGCCTCTAGGTCTGGCCGGCGTGGCTCAGTTGGTTGGGCATTGTCCCGTGTACCAGGAGGTTGCCGGGTTTGATTCCTGGTCGACACAAGCCCAGTGATCCAGGGTGGGGGTGACACTGCACCCAAAGTGGTGAAGGCAGAACTGAGTACAGACACTGGATGGGTAGGGTCACAGGGAGGGTGAAAGGGCTGTCATCCTAGTGCTTGTTTCTTTAGCAGGTAAGAAGCCAGGACAGCAGCCGAGAGGGAGGTGGGGAGACGGGGCTGCGAGCTGGAGAGGAGAGGAGGTGTCAGATAGGCCTCTCAGGCATTGTTTGAGGCCCCACATTTAATGTAGCACCACTGGAGCACTTGTCTAACTCTCTGGTTCTGGTGGCTTCCTTTCCCGGCCACTGTAGCAGGGCAGTGGGCGCTTGTTCAAATGTGCCCACCAGATGGCGCCAGTGGGGCACTGCTGAAACCTCAGATTTTTTCTGAAAGGCTTTGCGGCAGGATGGTCTTATTCTGTTTTTCTATATTTAGATCGTTATTTCTCAAATGTGAATAGTAAATAGAATACTTTTAAAGAAAAAAAATTCTCACACAGTCCCAGAGTTTAAATTATTTTAGTATGATATTTAAGTATTTGCAAATTTAAAACTGTATACACTCGCTATACCTACAGATCTTACACAACTATCAAGTCAAAGACAAATTTAGAAGCTAGATTAAAATGAAACCACAAATCAGAAATGTAAACCACCAACGTTAATATAATTTAATGAAAGATGATACTTTGCTGAGCATAAAGAGCCAGGTGCAGGGCAGGCGCTCTTGTAGGGTGTGGCACGCCTGTGCCACTTCCCGGTGCCATGATACAGCTCAACTTTCACCCCCTTTCTCTGCTAAAACCACTGCAGAATCGTCGCGTGCCTTCATGTTCTGTCTTCTCATGCCTGGAACACATCATTTTCCTACAGGGTTCAGCTCTTTCCTCTTTTTTTTTTTTTAAATGTATCTTTATTGACTTCAGAGAGAGGAAAGGAGAGAGAGAGAGAGAAACATCAACGGTGAGAGAGTCATTGATCGGCTGCCTCCTGCACACCCCCGACTGGGGACCGAGCCCGCAACCCGGGCGTGTGCCCTGAGCAGGAATCGAACCCCGATCGCCTGGATCCTAGGTCGACGCTCAACCGCTGAGCCACGCCTGGCGGGGCAGCTCTTTCCTCTTTAATAAAGATGATTAAAGTCACCAGCTTGGTAATAGCATATAACGAGTGTGGGGCTTACTCAGGAATGCGGGTTACAGGGCGGTCAGCTGGATCATCTGCAGTATGCACATAGTAATGCTTCAGATTTTTGTGACAAGAAAAGCATAAAAGTGAAAATATTATGAAATGAACCAAAGACCCAGGACACCTCTCACTGTGCTGATGTAGATGAAAGGTCCGATAGTTTAAGGACGACTCCTTTATTAAAACCATATATATTAAATCTAGAAACCATATCCTATTTAATAAAGTTTTGATAAACTTTTATCAAAGTTTATTTGGTAACATCACAGCGGTAGAGTCAGAAGGGACTCATTAGGGTTCTTATAGGACATTTGAAGAAGCAATTTGCATTTGTACACTGTGTGCTTTTTCATGTTTGGAGGCATAAAGAAAACAGCCTTGAAAAAGGACTTCTGCAGTTTATAGCAAAGTCACCCAGGGGACGTAACTACAAAGAGCCCTCAGAGGCGCGTGAGTGCCCCCTATGACCCTGCCTCTCTGACTTGTGTACCATTCCCGGGATCAGGGACAGTCGCTGCAGGATGGCTCTGTCTCCTTCAGGTTTCACTACTTCAGGACCTTTATTATGAATACATGTGTTATTGCTAATAAGAATAGCATCTTTAACTTCTTAAATGGTGAGATGAAAGCAGACACATAGCAAAGACCTGTGGGCTTTCACCACCTCTTCCTTCCCCTCCCCTAACAGCCAGCTGTGACCAGGGGCCTAAAACCTTGGACCCTGTGTTGCCTGTGCACCTGCTACAGGATCTCCAACCTGCCCCTTGGCCCAGACATTGGAATGTGCAAATGACCTTCTACTACAAGAAGTCCTGTCACAGTAACCTACACCCAAACTGGAACTTCCAAGTGTACATGAAAGACGAGAAATCCAGTGTTTTCTAGCCTGGCACTTAAACCTCAGATTTCCTGTGCTCTGAATGCCCCTGGACATTTCCTTGCATTCACTACCCTCTACTAAAGCCCTAGACTTCAGGTGCACTGAGGCTACCAGCTCTACTTTCTTTGAACTGAGAAAATTCCAACCTCTCTGAACCCCTGCACCACCCCTGCTCCACCCCGGAGCTCCCTCTCAGCCCCCGACGGCTGGAACTACAGGCCCTTCCTGTTTGGTCCTTGGTGTATCCTTAGGTTCAGGCCAAGCTTCCCGAGCTGGCACTCACTTAACACTCCGTGTACTTTTCTGACTTACTTTGTCTTTTCTTGTTACTCTTTCCTCTGTTCCAGATACCTGGACCCAACCTATCTTGCACTGTTACTGGGGTTCACCTTGACCTTTCTCCTAGTTTTGACACCCCAATCACAAATAAAAAATGTTACGTATATTAGATGCACGAGGTGACCTACCCCCAGCAGAAATGGGTTCACTCCACGCATGCAGGGTGGTCTGGGACTTGCTTTCAGATTTAGTCCAACAGGTGGTGAAGCTGAGAAGCCTCATTGGTAGCATGTCACATGGTGTCCTACATCTAAACCACTGGGCCATTCGACTTGTTACTGCTGCAGCCCCAGCAATGAAAAGACTGAGTCACAAGATTGTGCATGTGGGGGGCCACTGTTTGCTATAGGCAGGCCAGTGGGGTGACTGTGGGGTCAAGGTCTGGAGTGGCACTGGCTTTGCCACATACTGGACAAGTTATTTCATCTCTGTGTTCCCCAGTGTCCTCTGTGAAATGTGACCAGTGACACTACCTCCTGACAGGAGGCTGGGGGAGTAACGTGTGACTATGTACTGCAGAGAGCTGACAAGTGCCTGGCACAGAGCAGGCTCGGTGTTCACCATGGCATCATCGTTGTCTAGTCCACCCATCCTACATTCTAGCCGTCAAGACCACACAACTTGTCAGGAGCAGATCCTGGACCAAGCCCTCTGATCTGCTATGTGGTGGTTTTCAAAGTCCCTGGCCTTGGGACCCTTTATGTTCTTAAAAAGTATCAATGACATCAAAGGGTATTTATTATTTATTTATTTATTTATTTATTTATTTATTTATTTATTTATTTATTTTTGGAAGCTTCTTTAATAACCGTTCAGGTTACCTTTTAACTACCTCCATTTTTCTTTCTTTGTTTAAAAATTTTTTTGTTGATTTCAGAGAGAGAAAGGGAGAGGGAGAGGGAGTGAGATAGAAACATCAATGTTGAGATAGAGTCATTGACCCGCTGCCTCCTGCACGCCCCCTATTGGGGATCAAGCCTGAAACCCAGGCATGTGCCCTGACCAGGAATCAAACCATGACCTCCTGGTTCATGGGTCAAAGCTCAACCACTGAGCCACACTGGTCGGGCTCAAAGAGCTTTTATATTTCCAGGTTATATCTATTGATATATTTTATATTGGAAATTAAAACAAAAATTTTAAATGTCACTACTGTTAACATAAATGCCATTTTTAATGAAAAATAATTATTTTCCAAAACAAAAAACTCAGCACAATGGCATTGTTTTACATGTTTTACAAATCTCTACAATTTGGCTTAAGAAATGGCAGCTGGATTCTCGAGTCTGCTTCAATGTTCTGTTGTAGTGTGGTTTAGTTGAATTATAAGAGGGAAACCGAACCTTGTCACTCCAGACAAGATTCTTGGCCATTTGACAACTAAGAAAACTGTGGCCCAGAGAAGCTTTGCTCATAGTCCTGTCATCACAGGTTTGCTCCGGGAATTGAGTGAAATGATGTGAAGGAAGAGCGAAAGGTCTCAGAGAGTCCCTGGCACACGTTACCCGTCACAGAGAGGAGTCAGTGTTGTGGCGTTTGTGGGGACAGGCCCAGAGAGAATACACAGGCAGGCTTCAGGGCGAGAGGACAGGAGTAGCTGCAGGTGGGCACTGTGTAGTGCAGGACTTTGGATCTAGCACTGCAGATTCAATGTGAAGACTCATGGAAGACCTGGAGGAAAGGAGTCCTTGTTTTATCCCCAGTGCATGGGTTGCTCCACTTGAATGCTCCTCGACAGCGTGTTCCTCAGAGTTACAAACTCAGAGCCACTAAAGTTGTTCCTCCCCAGCAGGTCCCACTAATGCTCCTGTGAGATAAACCCACTTCCATTCAGTCGTGATACGGAAAGGACTGTTGGTAATTCTTATAATGTGGGGATTGAATTGTGGAAAGGCAAAAGAAAAGATAAGACTATGTACTGTTTGGATTAAGCATAAATCCACTGCAAGCAATTGCAAAAGCCAAAGTTGGGGGGTAGGGGGATCTGTAAATACTTCTTGCAAAAACCCTTATATAATTAGCTTCTTCCTTCAGCCTTCTCCACCCTTTCTAAAGGAGGTGATTTTATTTCCTTCTGAATCTGGTCACCCGTTGCCATTCTGAATTACCATCTCTAGTTTGTCAGAGACCCAGGGATAGTCCAGTCAGGTCACTTGGTCAGGTGCACTGCTGTGAATGAATGAATGAATGAATGAATGAATGAATGCGAGTGAGTGACGATTCTGAATCATCTCAGAGGGTTTTAAATGTCCTCAGATTCACCAGCCTGTCCCAATGGCCTGCCTGTGTGATCAGAACAGTCAGAAATAGTTTCTCCTGAGACTAACCGTTTACCTTGATATCCATTTTCTCTCCAAATTTATCGGAGAAGATGAGCATCCAGGTAGTTGAGAGATGGATGGAAGTGTCCTAGCTGAATATGTTTTTCTTGGGCCTCTGGAAAGACTGCTTTGGCAGATGGGCACATAAAGATCTTTAACTCAGGACAGAGAACAGCATCTTTCTAATAAAGGACCTTTCATTGGTGGAGTTCCTATGTTTTTCCTTTCAGCAACCTGTCACAGTCGCAGCTCTCCCCTCTCACCCTCCTTGAGGTGACTAAACTGAGCAGGTTGGGCCTCCTTTGTGGCCTCCAGTTTCTTCTGAACTGTTAGCCAAACGTGCTGAATCTTGCACGTGGTGGGGAGTGGGGGATTTGAATGAAAGGCCTTCTCGTGGAAACCGTGTCCCTTCATGGTCTGCTGGAGTTATTGAGGCGCCCGCTGAGTCTGTGTGCCTAATGTTTGGCTCTGTCAACATGGCTTGGCTGCACTCATCACGTTAAGCCATAATCCTGCAGTTTAAGGTATGTGCTCAGTACCTCCCTGCCTCCAGGCTCGCAGGAAGACCATCTCACCTGACCCTGGGACCCATTAGTGATTCTGAGATGGTGCGCTTGGAAAAGGAGCCTGGAGGGAAAGTGAAATGGGGACTTCAGTGGTGTATTCAGAAAGCGTTCCCAGGCCTGTTGCTTTTCAGCTCAAAATGGGTTTAAAGGACAACTATGACCAGGCTCTCAGAGGTTTTCCATTTCTGGTCCTCACATAAGCAGCAAATCTCAGCAGAAGGGCTAACCATTAAAGATGCTTTTCCCAAAGAAAAACCACTCTGTGATTCTAAAAACAGTGGGAACATTACCGTATAAGGCTGTTCAAACCTTTTTTAAATGAGCAGCTTTGTAATTGTGAGCGATTATGCTGTTGGAACAAGAGGCGGCAGTTAACAAATAAGCTCCCCAGATATATTTTGTGTCAGCTAGGAGGTGATATTCTTAAAAAGAATCTGTTCCTTGCCTCTTTTTCTTTTTTCTATTATTTTTGTTCTGTATCTCTTTTTTTTTTTACCCACTTTGTGCTTATCTGCTTTTATAATCCCTTTCCGTGACCTGATTTTTTCTTTTTAATTTATATCCTTATTTATAGAAAACGTGAGGTTGCTTACATTATTACAACTTATAAATCAGGAGAGTGAAGATTAGAGAAGAGCATTCTCGCAGGAATCTCAGACACACACCACAGCTGAGCACTAAAAAGAGGCAAAAACAGAAAACATTTGATAGGCTGTGGAGTTATTTTTAAATCTTTTTTCCCTTCCACACAATTTCCATTTTCTTTTCCATTTGCTTATCCTAAGAGCAGTTGGGCTTTTCTTAGTGTCTGTCACATTTCCTGTGCTGGGCAAGTCCCACAGGCTTCTCAGGGATGAGGCCCCGCACCCCTTTGGTCCCCTCCCCATCCCATAACCGCCACGAGCTCTGTGCAAAAGTCAGAGGCAAGATCACAGACAGTCCTGCGGCTCCCAGCTGGGGTGACGAAGTTGAACCTTTCAGGTTTTTCCTGAAAGCTGAGTTCATTGGAGTTGGTCCAAAGGGCCGGCCTCTGAGTCTGGACCAGTCCAGACTGTCATCCTGGAGACCTGAAGAGCATATGGTGACAGTGGAGTGAAATCACACGGGGGCGCCCTACTGAGTAACCATCGCCCTGTGCAGGTGAAACGCCCCTCTCAGGACTGGGGACTTCCTTCTTGAGAGACAGCCTGGGTTAGGGGCTGTGTCTGACCTGCCCTTGTATCCCAAGTGCAAGCAGGTGAGAAATGGTGTGAGTTCCCCCAGGAATGAGAAAGTGCATCATGTTTCTGATTATAGTTTCAATAGATAGTGACTTTTGGAGGAGACTGTTGTTAGAGCTGAACACTTAGAGCAAAAGCAGTAAGTAGGAGGCTGTACTGTCCAATCCACCGGCCATGTGTGACTACTGAGCACTTGAAATGTGGTCACATCTGAACTGAGATGTGCTGGAAGGGTCAGATATACACCAATTGCAAACACTGGGAAAAGCACTGGGAAATATCTCAGTGATAACATTATAATGTAAAACATCTCAACACGGAATGTTGATTACATATTGAAATGATAATATATTGAATGTACTGGGTTAAATGAAATACTATATTATTAAAATTAATTTACCTGTTTCTCTTTACTTTTTAATGTGACCACTTGAAAATTTAAAATTATGTGGCTCACATGGTATTTCTATCAGATATATCTGGTCTAAATGTCTAGAATTAATTTTTTTTTTTTTTTACTGAGGACTGAATTTCCTTTGTGTCTTCTAACACCTGTGTTCTCTCTTTGGTTCTCTTTCAACAGATATGACTCTCCGTGTAGCATGTCAAGGACGAAATTAATCACCAATTCCTTTGTTTTTTTCCTCCCTCCTACACACTTTTCTTTTACACTTGCTTACCCAGCCATCTGCAGTACGCCCGTTTCAGGTGTTTGAGCCGTGTAGAGTTTCTGTGTGTACAGATGTGTGCTTGGACTTCTCTCTTCCTGAGAAATCTGAAGGAGATGATTACAGAAGATCCACTTACTCCCGGGAACCACTGCTGCGGCCCCGGCCCGGGGCCTGGGTGGTCCCTGGGCAGCCCCTGCACTGGCCCAGCAAACGCTCCAACGTGCCATTCCCGAGGGGATGACCAAGTGCCGCGGGGGCAGGTGATCACGCTGTGCCGCAACTCTCTGGTTTCCTGTAAAATAAACACTTTATATTTTTAGGGAACAAAACAAGTGCTGCTATGGGGTTCAAAATTTTCATTCTGAACACTTTTCCGAAACAAATTACTCCAAGGAAGCATTTTGAATGTCCTGGTCACATCTTTGGATCTGTAAAGTATACCTTTTAGTATGGCACCGTTAAAATGCAAAGCAGATTTCTTCAAGGCAGAAAAACAATCTGACAGTAGCAATGTAGAATCTGTTCATTCAGACACATCCATGTGAATGTGAAAAGTCATAAAATTCACCTCTGGGCTGTTTGCTATTGAACCTGCAGCGACTAGTCTCGGCGGCTGGTGCGAACATCACTCCCTCGGAAGTGTTCGCCGCGGAGTCGGATGAGTGGAAAAGGGTTGCCCCCTCCCCTGACCCGACCGGAGCTGGCACCCGGATGGCCTTTCTCTAGGGAACCATCTTAAGCCCGGAGAGGGTATTGCTGCCGAAACCCAGGATAATTCCAGCAGCTGAAAGAGGAAGCCCTGGGGAGAAAGTAATTGACAAATTTCTGTGCCTCTGAATAAGTTGCCATGAATAAGCTGTTATTTTCACTCATCATTCTGACTGTTTGAGTTGTCTCCTTGGCATCGAATAGATAGGTTTCCACTTCTTAGGCAGAATTAGAAGAAATCAGTATGGATGGATTTTTTTTTATATTTAGCTGTTCCTGTATTCAAATACATGAACCTACACGAAATCAACTCTTCCTGTTGTGCATATTAAAGTGGTGTATTTCCAAGTGAGGTTTTCAGGGAAACTGGCAAGGATTCAATTAAGTTGGTCTTCTGCGCTGCTATTGTTTTGACAAATTTGAGGGTAAGTCAGTGACAACCAAACCAAACTCGGTGAAAGTACCTATCGTCCTGTTACGGTGCCTGCCCAAGATGAGCCAGCTGGCACTGTCCCTGCTGCTGTCACCGCTGGAACGAGCTGGGTGAGGGGGAGACGTTGGCCTTTCTAGTGGTTCTGTGGGTGGAAGGTAGTTCAAGGTGTGTGTGTGTGAGAGAGAGAGACAGAGAGGAGAGAAAGCACTAAGGACGGAATTGACCTCCAAACTCTTGTATAAAATTCCCTAACAAAGCAAAGCTGCTTTATTTATTTGTTAAATGTTGCTCTGTGTGTGTGTGTGTGTGTGTGTTGGGGGAGGGAGAGGAGTAAGGAGAAAAAGTGATTAATTCTACTGAAGTATTTATTTGGAAAAGATGACAGTTTTGCGTTTTTAAAGTTCTTCGGTTTGATTTTCTTGTGTTGCTGCCAGCATTCACCCAGTAAGTTGCCCAATCACTATTTGCAATCTGATAGAAGGGTCCTTGTAGGGCAGGTTTTGCAGCCCTTATCAAGTGATAACATATACCATAGATTATAACCTCGCCTCTGATTTTGGAAGCTAAAACATTGGTCTTTGAGAAGAATGCCAGTTTATAATTGTCATACTTACTACTGTCTATTATACAATTGTATTATTTTGTGTTTGGAAATAGAACCAAGGTCAGTAATTTCTTTTTGGCTCTCTTGTTAATTGATTATTTTGGATTTGTTCCAAAGTAATTTTTTCCTGGGTACCCCTTTCCTACTTCTAAAGAATTGCTTGTCCCTTTCATGTTTCAAAGAAACAGTCACTTGTAGTTCCACATTTCTTGATCTCCACAAGGGACTCACAAAATTCACTTCACTTTTATTCACAGAGAAAGTTGGCTTTGATGTCTTTTAAAGATACTCTGCTAGTTGCTGATCAGCCAGTCAGTTCACCTAGCTTTGATCTTTATAGGACCTCTAAACCAGGTTTCCTACACTGTGACTAACAGGCAGATTATTGGAATGGATCATGCAGTATATTCAAGTGGATCCCTAAGTATTACTTTGTGTAATAAGCTAATATTTAGATCATATACTCTGTAGGCCACACCTATGCAATTTTAATTTTTTTAGATGATTGCTCCTTTGCCTTTGGACTCTAACTGTAAAAAACCACACTTCTGAAGGCCAGGCCTATGGTTATATGTTTGGTTGTGTGCTGCTTTTTGCTAGCGTGTGTGTGTGTGTGTGTGTGTGTGTACACGTGCACATGCGCTTTTCTCCTCTAAATAATTTTATATTTCATGCTACTTCTTGAATGTTGACTCTCTGATTCTATGAGGGAATACCAGATGGTTTATACAGATAATCTCTACCTGCAGGATAGTGGATTGTTAAATTAGAGGAATGCTGTTGGGGATATCAAGATGTGTGGTAGGAGACTAAATGCCAAATGTGTTTTGGTCCTTTACCAGAGACTTCTGTACAAACACATCGTCTCTTCAGATACTGTACAGTTGGCTTTTGTTGAATGGCAGGTAGTAAGGAGAACATTAAGTGTAGATTAAGGCTTTTAAAGAAAATAGTATCATGTGATTAAGAAATTAGGGTTTATAGAAATATTGGGATAAATGGAGAAATAAAAATGTCTGCCTAGAATGTAGCATCTAGTATATTTTGAAGCCCTAAATCACACATGAAGCTGATACTCCTGTCCAAGGCCAGACCAAGCCATCACCAGGATTCACGGAGGAATCATCAGTCCTCCTTTCCTGCAGGAATAACTGAAGGCAAATAAAAGCTCGTAACAGTCCCCTCTTGAAGTGCATTTTTTTTAGCAGGGCAGAAGACATTTGGACTCTGGCTCTATGGCATATTGGGGAAATTTTTCATTGGCGGGGGCGGGGGGAAGTTTTCACTTCTTTCACTTCATTGTCTCACCGTGCGTATCTTGAGCAAGCTGAAGGAACCATCATAGTCTACAACAGCCTCATGTAACACCACAACGCAGACTTTTAAAAAGTGTTGAACAAGTGCCAGGTCTGTTGCCAAGGAAGCACTGCTCCATGAAGTCTGCTTACACACTACAAATTGTGTATTGGTTTTAACTACTTTACATTGTGCGCGGAGATGAGGGGAGTAGGGCATCTGTAGAATTATTCATGTCTAGTTTGTAAAGTATGTAGTGTGTACTGCAGATGTGTGTTCTCTGGGCCCTGTGTATCTGTACAGTAGCTTTTATTTAAATCGTGGGCAAACTTGGTGGTTTGAAGGGGAGAATGGCAGTTTATATCGCGTAATGAAGCTGTAATATATAGTACGTGTAACAAAAGATCTGGAAGTAACCCTCCCCTGGCCTTTGGAGAATTTTGGTTTCTTCTAGGTTCTAAAATGAAGATGTATGGATACTCTGGCAGTCTGCATGTTGTATAATTTGAAAAATACTAAAAGTGGAAAATAAACTTGACTTAAACTTTGGCTGGTCTGTTTTTTCTTATTTGAGTCCAATGCCAGTGTATGTGCCATTTTTCTGGCTCCATTTCAGTGAGCTGGAGCTCAAATTCAAAGTGTGACCAAAGTGAACCCTGACCTTTTTGTTTTGCTTAGCCTGAATATCTGTTTTTATTTTTATTTTTTTCATTGAAGAAACAAGAAAATCTGACATTTGTCCATTCAGCACTCAAACAATAGCAACTGATGTAAATAAACATTAATTTTAAAAGCAGGGTTGAATTAAAGCTCAGTAGACACACCAGTGTTTAGTGAGCTTCTTGCCTGAGAAGGACACTTATTTTAATAATGTCTTAGAGCACTGGCATTCTGCAGCTAATGCAGTGGAGCCCTATGTATGTTGGAAGATTATTGACATATTTCGAGAAGGGTTGAGGTGTTTGTATTCTTGTTTAACCTACTGATTACTAGTATTGTGCAGTTCTGAGATCTCGAGAGGATGCTGGGAGCCTTCGGAGAATAGCAAATGGCAGGACACAGGATTATTTTTACCAGCTCTCAGCAAGGAGTCTTTCCTACCTTGAGTCACTGAATCCTGCCACGCATGGCATGGCCTATGTAAAACACCCTCATTCTCGTTCTTGGGTTGGTTAATGTTGCATGAGAGCCAGACAGTAAACTGTTTTAATCTATTAAAAACGGGAAGGATGGTTGCCAAATGAACATTTTATAAGTGGAATTGAAGGCACTGCAAAAGATGTGCTTTTATGATGTCTTACCCATGTCTCTTGAAATGGTTTTTCCCAAATGGTTATTTCCCAATGCACTTGGAAGAGGCAGTTTCCAGATATTAGATTGTTAAAGGTGACTTATGCAGTAAAACCACAAGTGGGGTAGATGCATTTTTAGGCTGAAGCCTGTTTATTTAAAATGGGAAAGCAGTCCTCTGAGAGAACTCAATTACAAAGCAAATTTCAATATCAATGGGGAATGACCCCACAGGTCCCAGAACTGCAGGCTCTTTCTGTTCCCAGGGTCCCCGGTCCCCCATGCTCTGAGCGGAGTTTGGGCTGTGCCTCGGAAGCACAGGGCTGGACTCTGGGGGAATAGGAAACTGAAGCTCTAATCTGCAAAGGCAATTACCGGTGACGTGTATATTGGCAGTTTTAATTCTAGCACTTGTGACAGGTTTCATCTTGTGATTTGTCTTACGTACATAATAAAATAACAGAAGGAAGGAGGAATCTCTTGGGTGACACATCAGATGAAAATGTGGGCTCATTTGACAAAAGGCACCCTGAGCCATGGGATTTTTACTTTCCCTTTGGCAAAGCAAACACCAATTTCTGTGTGGTTCGTTGGGCTCCAGATAATAGGAGCCTTGCAGGTCACCGCAGAGCTTCTGTTTGGGAGCTCCTCCCTGCTCAGCACCCTCCAAACGCTTCCCCTCCCCCACGCCCAGGCTGCACAAGATTCCTGCAGCCGCGTTTTACTCCTTCGGAACGCGGGAGCGAAATCGGAGCCATTGGCAAACTTGTTTTGTACGACATGTAACAGCACCAGAACCTCATCACGCTCAGAAAGCCGCAGCGAGCAGTCGGTTCATGCGAGACTCCTCTGGCTGGGTGCCAGACAGTGTTTTAAGTGCTTTACATGTATTAATCCACCTAATCCTCCTAATAACCCCACGAGGTCGGCACCATTATCTCCACGTTCCCGGGGAGGAAACAGGCACAGAGAAGTCAAGGCACTTTCCCAAGGTCTCAGCTGGGGGAGGAGGCGAGACTGAAGCCCAGGGGCCTGGCCCCAAGGTTTGTGCTCCGCAGCTGGTAACACCACCTCTCAGAACAGTGGTGCGTGTGGTGTGTAATAAGCCTCAAAAAGTCCTTTTGTAAAGACTTGATACAAAGTGTTATAGCTCCACAGCCTTTTTGTGTTTCCTCCTTTGAGGGGACTCTGAGACATCACTGTTTGAATCACTTTAAGCCAGCAGATGTATCTAATAAAGAATCATCAAAAGATAACGGAAGAGGGTGCCTTGCCGCAGGGGGCCTGATGGTGCAGAATTGGGT